TCAAACAACTTCTATACAACGAAAGGAGACTGCGACCACACAAAAGGTCACACCATCTTGATCTTCATATAAGTGATTTTGATGTTTAGCAGCGTTTAATTGGCAAGCCGGTAAGAAAAAAAAGAAGGGGCAGAATGATTGTCAGGAGCCATAAAAACGGCATCCGGTACTGGTGGGGGTATTGAGTACGCTTCACTAAACCCATTTGTAGCGGTACGCTCTTAGGCGACTTTGGAGAAAACGAGAGCACAGAATTGTGTGAATAAGTGAATGGACCATATGAAGTGGGGTTGAAAGAAATAGGTGCTGCACTAGAGGCTAGAACAACAAGACGGCTGAACAGAATATTACCTAGAGGGATTGCCTTCACTTGTCAATTTAATGAATTGCAATTATGTGATTTCGATAGCGCTTCTCACTGACGATGCCGGCGAAACGTTTTGGAATGTATTTAGCCAATATTCCAATGCTTGAAATCCCGAATGCTATGGCAGATGACACGCGACCAGGTTCGTTCTACAAAGTCTCCCTGACTCTCCGAACAAGTTGCGAAAATAAGGTCGAACCAGCACTATAAAGCTAGAGGAAACTTAATTTAAACAGGAGGCCACTCCATTTTGGTCTTCATATCAAGGATTTATTTTTCGTTTCAAAGCAGACTTTTGAGACTACCAGTACATCTCATATAAGCCAATTTATGTTGGAAAAACTTCCATTTCTTATGGAGAGGCGAGTGAAAATGATTCGTAATTTGGTTTAAACGGAAGCTATAGGAGGAATAACATGGAGCTGGGGTTGCGGATTTGTGCAAATAGGTCCCCGGCTCACCGCATTACGACCCTGATTAATCCTTGATGGGCCTTCGACCAAACATAGGGTCGCACCATCTTGTTCTTCATATCTACGATTTATTGCTAATTATGGTAAGTGTTCTAATACAGCATAGATAAGGGAGGATTTGTAAATTAATATATTAAAGAGTACATTGTATGCTGTAAATAGCTGAGTAAGAATTAATTATGTCATTAATAATCCGGCTAAATTTTATTTGAAATAGGTATATCTTAATTTATGTCTCTCTCTCTCTTTATATATATATATATATGTATATTTTTCCTTATGAACCTGACTTAAGATTACCTAATATGTAACAGAGAATCTTATCTTACTTTGAATTTAGATTTTATTTGAAATAATTTAGACCCTTATCCTGTACTTAATTGTAAAATTTCTGAATTCATTATAAATTTTATTATATTTTATGATTTGATTTTTATTGCTTACTAATTTTTCTATACCACATAAAATTCAATTATGTAGAACTGAGCGTATTCTTACATCTATGTAACCCGCGGGGCTCAACGCTTTTTGCTTCGACAATGTCCAATAACTCTGCCCCCGTAGCATCAATTGCCATGTATCCACTAGTTCAGAGTACTGAAGAACTTAATAAGTATGCACAACTTCTGCAGGTTATAGAAGAAATGGGACGTGATATAAAGCCCACATACGCTTGTAATAAAAATGCTGCCGAACGTTTAAAAAAAAACATTCACACAGCACGTATTCTAATCCGAGAATGCGTTGCAGAATTAGAGAAGGTGATGAAAAGTTGAACTATGTACATAATTTATTTATAAATTTTTATTTATTCACTATTTTCACGGTTTTCTGTTTTCCAATTGAATATTCACAAATCTGAAACATACTCGGAGTGCGCAAATAGGATTAGCACCAATAATCCTTACCCTATGCGAATTTATTTGCCCATTTTATCTTTATTGACCATAATCTCTCTATCTAGGCCTTATTCTGATATTTTACAAGCCTCTTTATAACAATTACTAAGTCTGGAATTAATATGCCTTTAAAGAATGCTTACTTATTCTTTTATTTATTACTTATCAGATTACTTAAGAGTAAAACCTACTTTAATACATTCCCTGTTCACTCGCCAATAGTTGCCTGCACATGCGGACTAGTTTATTCTCTTTAGCCGATAAAAAAATAATTATTGTTTCATAATTCTGTATATTAACGTCTTCATGTCACATTTCCAGTTTAGTGGCCTGAGTTTCAATGGATTTAGGAAAGCTTAAATATTCGTTTCTCAATTTAAAATATTAGATTTTTATCTAGCATAATTTTCCCATATAGAAGAGAAGTTTGATTCCTGCAAATCATAAATCTTAAGTTCCCCTATATAAAAAATCACTTCGAAGTTTTATATTGCTTACATAGTGTTTTGTCTTTCAGTCTGTTTCCTGTTTAAAAATGTTTTCGTCGGCAAGCTAGATAGGCGATTTTAATGTGAAGTCCACTAAAACCGAGATTGTTCTATACTCATTTACAATTGCTTTATCATCTTTATTCTTCATAACCACGATCTTAATATGTCCACGTTGTTTGCGGTCGATTATTCGATTTAAACTGTCTGGTCTGATAGTTCTTATTACAATTAAACACATAGACCTTACGGCTTAGAACTGCCCCCAAAAAAATTTTCATTATGAGCAGACTGTAGTTTAGTCCTAGTTTCGTTCTAATCCGTGCTCCCTGCCAAAATCAAACTCAGATTTGGTTGTGTATATCTTCGAAATTTTACTCTTTTACGTAGACATGGGCGCCAACGGGTAACAGTAAAGGTGGATCATGTGTATCTTAGTGATTTAGAGAGGCCTTTTCCCTAAAAATCACATCTGCCCTGTGGCACTGGTCACCTTGGCTTAGTTATGCGTTGGTTACGTGTCACTGATGCACGCGACCCACTTGATTTCCATTTGGGATGCTGATAAGGACTAAGCGACTTGGAAGCTGCAGTGTAATAAAATTAAATAGTGAGGCCTACTATCATTCCTT